TTCCATCCCTTCGCCTCTTGCCATTTTCGATGCTTTTCTACTGCCTTCTCCCAAGCATCCATGACCTCTGTATCACAGAATCCCACTTCTGACACCAAGTGTCACACCTCAGAAGGGTTAACGGCCAGTGGGTGTGCAAAGATTGTAATTGTTTGCAGGTTTGCAGGACTCTGCCATGCACAAAGACACAGAGGATTTATTAACAGTGTTCTCTACTTCATTACAGTTTACTGCTATCAAGGTAAATATAGTTATGATAGGCAAAACAAAAATATCTATACTACAAGATACTACAGATTACTACCAGAAAGCAAACGTATATTTCCACAGCAGCAGCAATCAATATCAGCAGCAAGTCTATATTTTAGTATTACAAATTACTGCAAAATTACCACTAGAAAAGCAGCAAATATACTTATCAGTAATTACTTACGTGCAAGCCTTTATACATATATATGTATAAAAAAGTTACCGGTAAGTGCTCATCAATCTGATCCCAGCAGTGGGGCTGATCAAACCCATCTCAAAAGCAGGGCCAGTCGACAGTGGATGAAGTCTCACTTCAGTGATGATCTGCACCAGCAGACCGGTGTCTGCAGTGAGGGTCTGCTCTGCCAAGGAAATCTCACAGGGAAAAGGGGTACGTGTGCAGGAAAGAGGTTTCATTTTCGGAAAAAAGTAAGCCCTTTTTATACCACAGAGACATAAAGGGGCGTTGGAGACCACCATCTGGAACAGCCAATAGATGCTGTTAATTTGTAATTTTCACCTGGTACAGCCAATAACTGGTGATGTTTTCTATTCTCTCTGACCAATTTTTGTTTTATCAGACTGTTTTGCTGTTCTGTGAGTTAAAACAGCCCAGTGCTTACTTTCTCAGGATGTTTTTTTCCTTTTCCAGACGATAACTTACTGTTACTGTTCCTTGTTTTTGCACTTATCAATGTTATCTTGGGATGTCTCTGGTTTCTCAGTACCCAGCTGCACTTCAGAGATGCCAGTGTGCTCCTCAAGGGTGCTCCTGGTTCCCAGGCCGGCAGGCATTGTCTCTGTCAGTACTTGAGCAGAGGTGGTCTTCTGTTCAGTATTGCCCCCCCCTTGTAACCAGGTCGCCTTTATGGCTGCTCCTAGTATCAGCCTGAAATGATACTTCTCAGCAAAGCAGAAATGACCAGCTGTAGGGAACGCAGCAGAATTTCCCCATTTAAATAGTCCTATTTGTGAAAGTATCTTCTATATAGTTACTATTAGTTGTTCAGGAACAGATCAAAAGTGATTGCACTAGCTTAGCTTCTCCTGTAATACCTTTTTGGGCTAAACACAACCTGTGGCACACCATCACACTTCTGCTCAGGAGACCACGCTGTAAGCCAGAACCTTGCAGTCACAGCCTTGCTTGGGCTTCCTCCTGCTCTCCACACTAGCCAGCCTCCACCTACAACCCTGCATTTTCACAGCCTGTCTGTGGAGAGCATCAGCATGAGGAAAAGTTCAGAGGAGGACATTGGTCATGCAGAAACAGCAAACCAAGACTGAGGACAAAGTCAACCCAAATGCACAGGCAGGGTCACCGCTCTCAGCCTGCCAACTCCTGCCAAAAGAGTTAAGAGGAAAACCAGGAGCAGGCACCAGGCTGAGTTTTAATATGTTGCAGCATTCAAACATGAAGCTGTACTTGTTGCTGTGGTACAGACTGACCGAGAACCAAGAGTGATTACAAACAAAACATCCAGCCTGTCTAGCCCGCAGCCCAGCTACAACCCTTCCAAAACAGACCATTGCCCTGAGACAGGGACCTCCAAAACTCAGATCTGGAAACAGACTTCCTCACGGTGCTTCCACATTCCTTTGGTCCTGTTCCCTAAATGCTATGTTTGTGTCGCTTGCTAAAAAAATCCACAGCAACAGGCTTTCCAAGTAAACTTAAAAGGAAGTGATTCAGTCATTTTTCTGAGATGAAGTCTTAAATAAATTTTCATAGAATAGGCTATGGAAACTATAATATGACTTGTCAGTTATTGGTTAACAAAGCAATGCTGATACTGTGACAGACAAATCATACTTTTAAGGACAAAAGTTTTAACTTGGCTGGTTTTAATTTGGTGCTGGGTTTATCAAGATTTTGGCAAGAATTTCAGGTCTGAGTGAAGCACTGTACTTACGCAGTTACACAGAGTAAAGTGCCCAGGCTGGGTTCTCTTGACACAGCACTTCTCGTGCTCAAGAGATAACCACAACCGCGGAGAGACAGAGTGAACTTTACACACAAATATCAAAAGCTAGGTAACAATTCCTTAATGGTTCCAGCTTGTGCCGATCTCTCACTCAGTCTCTGCTAAGCTGCCCAGAAGCAGCAGCAAGTCAGCCTGCTTTCTGCTGCAAGCACTGACAACGCTTGATCACAGTCTTATTTCACTATGAAAAGTGTGATATCCTTTCATTCTGTTATAAACCATACTCCAGAGTGGATTAAGGGTCACAATTTAATATAAAAGCCTTCTTACCAGATAATTTAAATCATATGATAACCCAGTAATCTAAATATAGCCGTATGCCTCTACTCCAGACACGATCAGATCAGAGAATGAACTGCAAGACTTTTGGATTCATGTATTATAATGTAAATGAGTTTTGTAAATTGTGACCTAGTTCCCATGTTAGAAACAGTTGGGACCAGCAGCAGGAACTATGCCATGAATGTGAGCAGCCCGGGCAAGCAAGGAAATTAACGTTTGTTCTTAATTTGAAATGGATTTTTAATCACTTCCAGGTGCCTCAAAGAAAGTGCACACACTTGTTTACTATAATCATTCTGACAGAAGAATGCCTATAGGAGGTAACATGTTTTTGTTTTACTAATTGAAATGTTTGCAACATTGGTGTCAATTGAAGCGCCAGAATACAGCTCTTTCTGGATGATTTACTGACTGTACAATGAAGGACTGTGAAACGAAGTTTCCCAATCAATCTGTTCCTCAGCACTTGTTTTGTAAAGAAAAGAGTAGAACAAATCCTCTAAAAGTGACTGGATATTAGATCACATCCATCTCTCCAAATCCGGTTGCTATTTTTTCAGCTAGAGACCTGATTAACTAGCTCGCTGAAGAGCCTGCTCAGGGATGGAGCTGTATGGGTGTCAACCAACTGTTTAATGCAACTCAGCAATTAGTGGAAAACACTGAACTCACAAAACGCAGCTCGCACTGTAACAGTGTGCCTATGACACACAGTGCTGAACTGCAGCCCCAGGCAGCTTTCTGGTAAACTCGACTGTTTTCAGTGAGGGGATGAGCAAGGGTGTAACTTGCTGAAAACCAGACAGATTCTCATCCTGTCAAGGGCTGGTCTCATCATCGGGAATGTAGCTGTGAAAGAGCTAGGGCGTCGACTCTCCTGGAAAATAGAGTCTCAGCTCCCTCTGGTGGAAAAAGTAGTTTTCTGCAAAACAGTTTGAAGTGGGAAAGTCTTGTTTCTGCTACAGGTCTCAAGGCCATGAGATAATTAAGAAGAGACAGTAAACAAATTCCAAATCCTCCGTTCACTTTGAAGGACTGGAACTTCATTGAAGTTGATGTGAAATATCATGATTCACACACTCTTGCACGGTGGCTGCACAAGATAGAACACGCTTATCAAGTTCCAGCTCTGAAAGGTGGCCAAGAGACCCTCCATCTTCCCTGGCTGGAGTTCTAAAGGGGGAAATGATGATACATAAGAACACTGAAGCAAATGGTAGCCCCAAGGAAAACAAAACACACACACACACACACAGACAGTTCTAATATTCACTCCACAATAACCAACACCTAAGCCCCATAAGCAGCCCCATAATCAACTGCCAGGACATGTGGGACTTGAAACGGTGAAGTCTTCTCCCTACATGCCCAGGTAGTGAAGAAGTGTTTCAGTTGTATGTTCTGAAGTCAGAAACATATCCGTGCCAACAGAGCACAACATCACAGATACAAGATGTGTAAGGCAAAGCCTTTAGATCCAATCCTGTGTCCCTTAATCTTAGACACTGTACAGATTAATCCAACCAACACTCAACAAATCTCTCCTTTTGAACTTCAGCATAACTCCAATCTCCTATTCAAAAAGTCATGGCAAAAAACTTCTCACTAGAGTTGTTCCTAGCCTACAGGTAAGCGTATTAAGAAAGGAACCTCAGCTTTCTGTGTGCTGTACATCAGCACAGCAACAGCCACATCACCTCTGCCTTCCTGATAGGAATGAAAATTCAAGCTGATTTCCACCACACATACACTAGATCTATTTAAGGTTTTTCCACTCTTTCTAATCAAAACCAAACATACAAGACATTTCTACTTCTCCTTATTCATGCCAAAGAGTGGAAAGTAATTCCTGGAAGTATTCCAGCTATTATCACAAGAAGTCAATAAAGTACATTTTTGTTTATCGATAAAAGAATCATCTGTAATTAAGAACACAACTACTAGTTCTCGTTGCTCTGACAAATTCTTTGTAGTTCCTGTAAACAGAACCACAGGCAATCTCTGCAGTCACAAACACACTAGAATGACTTCTTATAATACTGAGGTTCTGAAAATATTTCATACTGCCACAGAAGGAAGATTCACATATCCATTGAAAGAAAAACAGTAGTAAAAAAGTATTTATTAAACACCACATTATTCAATTTCACAGTGTGGGATTAAGACCCATACTTGCTCCTTGGAAATAGTAAAGCTGAGTAATCTTGTGAGAGTGGGGCAGCAGGTCAGGTCTGCAGGCGACATTTATTAAGAACAGTAAAATACTGTTCCCACAGCCAGAGGGAATTTGAGGGTGGGGAGAAGAAACAAAAGCAACAACAGACAATCAAATACCCATGGAGTGTTTTGTGCAACATTTTTCAGCAGAGAAAAGCTATTAAGGCTAAAAATGGGGCATGACGTTTTGGGTTCATACATTCACATATTATAAAAACAACCATGGCATGTACAAATTGATCTGTGTGTATGCATTTAAAATAAATTCAGCAACAGATTTTTCTCCAAAAGGGCAGTTTTCTACTGGCTGAAATGTCTATGTATTTAACTGGAAGTCTCAAGATGACTGCAGCGCCATAAGCTTTGCTTATTGGCTAAGTGGCTGCTTTCAATCTTCTGCATGAATACCAAGTCTGCTTATGTAGCTGTCCCAGGCTGCCTTCCTGTACTTCTCTGCTTCTTGAACACGGTCTGAAGCTGACAAGATGCCACGTCCCACAATAATGATATCTGAACCTTTTTCACTAATAACTTCCTTGGGGCTCAGGTACTTCTGTCCAAGGTTATCACCTGAAATAGAGACATCATTTTTTTAGCTCATACAAAACTGTATCTACTAAAACCTTTCAAAAAGGTGCTGGAACATAGCATAGGTATGCTATTCCAGGTCTCACTCTAACAATCCACAAACATAACTAGAAACTGTCTTCAACTAATGAAACCCCAAATTTGACAGAGATTTACCAATCACGATAGATAGCAGTTACACAAAGAAGCACGGATCAGGATTACCAAAATAGGCCTCAGCCTTCTTAAGGCAGGCAAAACCCCCAAACATTCACAAAAAAGCTTGTGATTTCACTTCAAGTTTTGTAAGAATTCTGTATTGCAGATAAACATCTCCCACACCTGGTTCAGTGATAACCTGTTTAAGTCAGTGTAAGACTTCCAATTCACTGATACTGCATCCGTATCAGTTTCAACAGTGACACGGTTAGACTTACGTATTTGTTTAAAATCTTTATTTCTACTCCTACTGAGTAGTTATACACCTAACTTAACAGCCACCTGAAGACAATTCATGTTTTAAGGACTGTGCTTTATGGTATGCACAGACCTCAACACACAAATAAAGCTGCATAGCCTGCTGGTTGCCTTTTAGAGTTCCCAGGAAAGGGATCAGCATACCTAGAAATACAGAAGGCAGCCCATATTGGCAAACACAGACTCCTGCCACCAGAGAATCAGCAGCAAAACCTTCTTCAGAAGTCACTTTTTCACTGAAGGCTAGATTACTTATTGTATTAACAAACAGAATGCAAGTATTTCAGAAAAAGTTACCTCCAGTTTGCAGCTGCACCCCTGGAGTTAAGTGAAGAAATTCCGGTTTATTACTAACTCTAGATCCAGATATGAATCCAAGAACAAAATCCGAGTTGTCTTCAGCCATTTGTACCTGAAGAAGATCAGTAAACACTTACAAATGATATAACCAAAATGAAGCCTGACTAACAATCTGTTTATCATCCACACTTTGACACAGCAAGCTGTGCAGGGCAGGGGAATGGAACACCTGCTCTTGCTTTACCAGTATAAAGTCACCCAGAGCTGATCTTGCTGTGTCTGCAGCCAGGAATGTGAATGTTAGGTTTTGTTATATGTTATAAATAATGCAATGAATTAAACTAATTAGAACTTTATTGCTTAAGGAAAAAAAAGAGGGGAGCTAATATCAAACCTGGCATGTTTACTAGAATTCACAGTGTGATCTTCAACCACCTCACATGACTACCCTACAGCTGCAATCTTTGAACACCACACTGCCAGATTCCTGAGTCTTCACAGGAAAAAAACCCCTGTAATAGAGCTGCAGACTTTTGGAAGTGCAAATATTAGAAGCAAACAAAGCCTCCCTGTTACAACATTTTACAAGCTTTTTATGTGAAACAAGACCGCCTGCTTACCGCAGCTTTTGTGTATTCACCCGTTGCAAGTGACCCTTGGGAACTCATCTCGGCAACCAGAAGACAGCCGCGCTGGAGAGGAAGACCCACTTCCTTCAGACCTTTCACAACTCCAGAGCCTGGAACCACGTGGGCATTAACGATGTCTGACCAGGACACGATTCTGAACACACCACCTGAGAACATGGATAGGAAGACACAGGCAAAGCATCATAGAAATGCATTAAACAGGAAACATGAGTTCAACAAAACTGCACACCAAGTCATTCACATTTTAATAGACAGCTTTACTACCAAAGCTTGACAGTTACAAGTTTAGTCTCATGAGATAGTCTTGATAGCTGTCTAACCACAAAGTATAACCTCTGTTTTACTTTCCACAAACGCTTCTTAGTATCTCACCTTTAATATTCATTGAGGCCTTTATGGTAACCTAGGAATTCACTGTCACAGGTGCTACCTTTCAATACAGCATACAGATCATAAAAAAAGAGAAGGAAGGTTCTACAGTTGCAGATGATATATCAAATGAAAGCCGTAATGAGCACACAAGCATACAACAGCAAGCTGCCTGAAGAAGCCACACTGTGTTTTCTCATGGCAAACAACTACTGAGAAGTACCCTAATGAGCACAACCATAGATTCGTAGAAAGCTTTAGGTTAGAAAGATTTAGGTTAGAAGGGACCTCTGGAGGTCATGCCCTCTCAGCAGGGGTAACTTCAAAGCTAGATCAGGTTGCTCAGGGCTCTGTCCCCTCGAGTCTTCTCCAAGGCTGGAGAGTCCACAATCTCCCCCAACAACCCGTGTCAGTGCTGCAATTATACACACTGGCAAAAAAGTAACAGTAAATCAAGGTTCATGATAATCACCTTCATATTGATGTTTCACAGTGTTGCCAATGTCTGCAAATTTCCTGTCCTCAAAAATCAAGAATTCATGTTGATCTGCAAGCGTTCTCAACTCCTTTACCACCTCTTGGGTAAAATCATTCAGGATGTCTATATGAGTCTTCAGGACACAAATGCTGGGGCCTAGGATGGCAGCTAACTGCAGCAACTCTTTGGAGCTGGTGACATCAGCAGAAAGGCACAAGTTTGTTTGCTTCTTTTCCATGAGCGCAAGGAGCCTGGCTGCAACAGGATGCACCCCCGGCAGCTGGGCTCGAGTGCCAAAGCTCAGCTCTTTACATTGTCTCTTCATAGGAGTGGGGCTGTTCTGAGCCACTGGCTTGAACGCATGTCCCTGAATGAATTTCTTCACCTTTTCAACCATCTCAGCAGTCACCTCTCCCTGCTGCTGGAGAATCTCCAACACCCCAGACAATGTGCACACAGAGTGCAGGCGAATTCCGCGTTCCTCTAACCTGGCCTTCCCACCCTGCTCCCTGTCCAACAGCACTATGGCATCCGTGACCTTTAATCCTTCTTTCTGAAGAACTTCCGCAGTTTCCAGTACACTAGATCCACTTGTTACTACATCTTCGATGATCAAGCATGTTTCTCCTGGATTAATGGTGCCTTCCACCAGCCGCTTAGTACCTTAAAAATAAAAGGCAAATACTCCACTAAGCGAAGAAAGTTTAAAAGACCCCAAAAAGCTTGAAGTATCAAAACTAACTTGCTATGCTAATGTAAAGATCACATTTGTTCCACATACAAGCATACACTGGAGCATATCCTGAAGTCCAATGGAATTGGACTCCAAGAGAATTGGAATTTCACATTCACTGTCAGCATGGAAAGATAATTTGCTTAGTTATTACCCAATACCAGCTGTCACAGTTCTTACCACAACTCAGTCACTGAACTGTCAGTCAATTCATAAGGACTGTTACTTCTCCAAGTTAATAAAATACTTCTTTATGTTTCCAGAAGTTATGTTCCATTAACAAAACTGACATACTGTTAACTGCACAAATTTAAATCTTTGGATAAAATGACTACAGAAGTTTATTATTGCTACAAATCGAGTGCTCAGAACTACAAAAGTACTTCCTTCAGTTATTCAAAACATCTTTAAAGCAGCCAAGTTACTGGTACTCCGTTTTCCACAGGCATTATTCAGTGCTTAATCTGCCTGTTAGAACAATTGGAAGGAGTAAAGCCCCCAGATGCCTTTGTCCTAATGAACAACAGGCACAAGTCCATTGAAAGGCCTCCTGGGGGGCAACAACAAAGGATGCCCAGCTTTCCCGGGAAGGAGCAGACTAATGTTATTCAGTGAGCAAAGTGCTTAGACCATGATAGCCATGAAGGAGCATGATGTACAGCTTTACAATCCATGTGACACCCGAAACATTGTGCCAGCCAGTTAATTGCTGTCACAGTTGACTTGTCCTTCACAAGATGGAACAGAAAATGTTTTCATGCCCACCACACCGACTAACATACAAGTAACATTTAGTTTGACAAGCATCCTTTCTAACCGAATACTGTTGGAAGAAGACAGCTTTTATCATACTCTGAAATCCACTGCTACGGTAGGTTAATGCTTCAGTCTTCTCTCCCCCTTGCCTCTGCCAAAATCAAACAATTGGTTCAATGTGTAGCAAACTGACTGCTTCTCACCTGGTCCACCTTGCCTAGTGATTACAGGGCTATAAGGTTTGCAAGAAAAAGGAGTCTGAAAAGTAAATTAAGATGAGACTTGAAAGGTTCCTTTTAAGAGCTAATAAGCCAAGTTCTGTTTGGGGGTGAAATGTAGGTCTTGTCTCAGTATATCAGAGAAACTGAGTTGTGAATCTCAGTTTTTGGAAGACGTCAATAACCCTGAACCATGGTAACAGTACCAATGGAAAAAAAAAATCAAACAAAACCCACTGCTGAACTTAAACAAGAAATAAAACTACCCCCATGTCTCCAAACCTACTACTACAGCAGAATTTAAGCTGCACCCCACTTGGCAATGAACTAGGAAAGCCCAATCAGGTTGGAAAGCTGTGGGAGGTATGTTTTGGGAGGGGGGAAGACTGCTTGTTGAATTAGAGTGGTCATCTTAAACTGGAATGGAGATACTGCACATCACAGAAGAATCACAAATATAAAAAGTCATTTCACAAACAAGACAACAAGCAGACACAAATTCTCGATTTGAAGGCTTTACCATAGTCTTTTGCTTCCTTCCTCCGCACAAGCATTGGAATCTGATTTTCCGAGCAGATAATTGTGGCCAAGGGCAGTGCTGTGTAAGGAACGCCGCACACACAATCATACTTGAGACCGGCACCCTTGGCAGTTTGAAAGAGAAGATCTGCAACCTGCAAAGGAAAACCAAACACTTTAAGAGTAAGACTGGAGCGATCACGACTAAACACACATATTACCACGGGAAGCAACGCACACGCACGAAAGCCAATCTCCTCCACACCATTTGTCAGTAGCTGTCCCCACAGCGCACAGACCGCCCCGACGCCTGGACCCAGCGAGCTCCCGGCCAGCAGACCGCGACTCCAACCCCAGGAAGGGCCCTCCGGAGAGGCCTCCGGCGTCCTCCTTCCTCTGATACCTCCGGGCTGCCGGCACAGACAAGCACCCCTGAGGCGCGGTGTGCGCCGGCCCCTCGCCCC